CCTGGGAGCCCACCCCGGGATATCATCTGCTGTATAGCCAGCTTTCAACAGAAGGAAGAGATCTTGAGGAAGGCAAGAGACCTGGGAAAAGTCACCTTGGAAGGCACAGAAATACAACTGTACCCAGATCTATCACCTACAACACTGGCGTACCGCAGGGCCCTACGCCCCTTCACCATGCAATTACAATCAAACAAAATTAGATATCGCTGGTATTTTCCGAATGGGCTCCAAATCCAGACACCAAAGGGCCCATACGTGATCAAGGAGAAGGCCGACATGGACGCCCTCGCAAGAGAGCTACGAATCACGCCAGCGCCTATACAGTGGCCTGACCCCCTGACATTATACACACCAGCCCCAGGTCAGGGGAGACTGACCACGGGATCCCAGATTCCGAGGACCACACGCCAGCAGGCAATAGGCCCTCGAGGCCAATAGACCAACGGGACATTTGCATGACACCTGTACCACGAACCCCAGAGCAGATACCGAGACGACCATCTTGAGGAATCCCCCACCTGGCCTACAGAAAAGGACTTCAGTCCAGATCGGACACGACAACTCGAACTCGCCCCATCCTGCTCTGAGCAGAGGCCATCACCGGCGAGCCCCCGGCTCCGACCACCACGCACGACACTGGACTGAGACACACGAGACAGCATCCAACGGAGAACACTACAACAACGGAGACAGAATTTCCCAGCCTACACTGAACACCTGACACAGGACTCACGAGCACACCATGGACTTGAGACAGGTTACTCCACCACGCTGAAACACGCTGGGCCGGAGGAGAGGACACTCGAACTTAACTAGACCCTAATATCATGCACGCAAGTACTAAATGTTGATGTAAATTACCATGGGGTCTAGGGATATGAGAACACTATGGGGGGAGTAGCAGGGATGGGAGAGTAACATAGCTCACCCAGATAGACACGGACTTGAGGGGGGGGATCCCGGACCGGGCTGGGCAACCGCACCCCCCTGGCGTGCCTGTGATGACCCATCGGGAGCAGGCGGGGGGTCGGGGGCCCGGCTCGCTCGGGCATCAGACCTAGCCATGGGACACACACAGTCAGAGGCCAGACGAACCCGGGCTAGGCCCACGGGTCAGGAGAGGCTCAGAAGGTAAAGATAGTCAGCCCACACATGTGGGGAGCTCACCCGGACTCTCGATTAGGTCCCACCGCCAGCAAAAACCACTAGAGGTAAAGGTGGGCGGGTCGGGGGCCCGATCACCTACATGAGCGCTGAAGGTGGGGGTCCTGAAAACCATGGTCTGGAAAGCACAACCCAGGTTCACACGGGGACAGGCATACACAACAAGGGACAGGTGCCACTGCAGTGCCCGGGCACAAAATGCATATCTTATGTTTTAAGTTTTTTCCTCTTTCTCTCTCTTTTTAAAATGTTTAAGTAATGTTGAATGTTAAAGTTGAAATATAGACGCATATCGCGTATTAGGCGAGGACCCAAACCCGTGACACCACGACTGACAGAGCCGTACAGGGAACACACGGGAGACCTACTGCGCACATAGTTTAGACCGCAGTGGAATTGTAGAGCGACTAACTCGCGACATACACCGACAGTGAATCAACACCCGCTTGGAGGCTTCGGCCTTCCTTCCACCCCCTAAGGGACAGGCGCTAGGTACAGGTGGGCCGGACGCTAGGCCTAAGTGCAGGCACGGGTCTCAGGGACCACCCAGACGCCACTACCCTAACGCCGACACAGCGGCGGACTTCCCACACTTCCCCTACCCCCGACCTACCCCTACCCCACCGCCCACGCCCGGACCAAAGACAGCTACTACCGCACACGACTGACGGCAACCAAGTATGACGCTCATACCGGCTAGCCTCACGATCCTCTCCCTGAATGCAAGGGGCCTCAACAAACCAGAAAAGAGGGCAACTGCCCTAAGAGACTTTCACTCCGCCAGTGCGTCCATAGTATATTTACAAGAGACGCACTTTAAAGAAGGGTCACGACCCAAACTACACGACCACCGATACCCCACGGGTTACTTTAGCGACTATCACGGGGGTAAGGCCCGGGGCACCGCGATACTACTACACAAAAGAGTACCACTACAGGAGATGGGGGTCCAAACAGATAGGGAGGGCAGATTTGTTTTCCTGAAGGGCACAATCGCAGGCCAGATCTACACGTTCGCCAACATATATGTCCCCAACCAGAGACACTATAGATTCCTCTCACGGACTTTTCGCAAGTTACAGGCATTCGCCCAGGGCGTCCTAGTACTGGGGGGAGATTTTAACCTGGCCCTGGATCCGAAGTGGGACACCTCCACGGGCTCATCACATGTCCCAGCCCAACAATTATCCGTAATCAAAACTCTCCTCACTAAACACAAGCTAGTTGATAGTTGGAGGGCACACCATCCTGACGAGAGGGACTATACGTTCTATTCACATCCCCACAACTCATACACTAGGATTGACTATTTCTTCCTGCAACACTATCACCTACCACTGGTGGTACAAACAGAACACGGCACGGCGACATGGTCTGACCACGCACCGGTAGCACTCACATTAACCTCCCCTCTGTTTAGACCCAGGGTGACTAAATGGCGACTTAATGAGTACCTACTCTCCGAACCCACAGTTAAATCCGACACCGAATCTACCCTCAGAGAGTACTTCACCAACAACACACCTGACCAAACAACCCCGACAATAGTGTGGGAGGCGCACAAAAGCGTAGTGAGGGGCCACCTAATACAAAGGAGCGCCACACTGAAAAAACAGAGGGAAGCGAAAATGACCGCCCTTCTGGCAGACATCCAGAGGCTAGATAGCCTCAACAAAAAAGAACAGACACACACACAACAGGAACAATTGCTTTCCTTACGTAGAGACCTGACTCGACTCCTCCAAACCAGATACCACCGAGACGTACTACGACATAAGGCGTTTTTCTCCTTACATGGTAACAAAAGTGGCAGATTACTGGCTCGGATGCTCACTAAACGTAGACAACAGACATACATAGACCGTATCCGAGATAACAAAAACATGCTACATCGACTCCCCACTAAGATCCAAGAGGTAATTAGGGCATACTACGCGGACCTATACTCCCTCCCGAGGCCGACGTCGACCCAAGCAACCAAACACCTAATGGATACCATTAACGACTACCTCACCACACACATGGCACACACATTAGGCAGGGACACGGTGTCCCTCCTGGACGAAGAAATCACACCGGAGGAACTGGCTGCGGCTATTAAGCGAACAAAGCCCGGCAGAAGCCCGGGCCCGGATGGCCTGCCGCTCTGTTATTATAAGACTTATGCGGACATACTATACGAGCCCCTCATAGCAGCGTTCAACGCGGTCAGGGAGGGCCACCACTTCCCCAAACAGACTTTGGCAGCATACATCACCGTCCTGCCCAAGGAGGGGAGGGATGGAGAGCATTGTGGAAACTACCGGCCGATATCCCTTATAAACTGCGACCTCAAGCTGCTGGCCAAAATACTGGCCACCAGACTACAGACACACATACCCACGCTGATACACCCGGATCAAGTGGGGTTTGTACCGGGGAGGGAAGCCCGCGACAATACGATACGCACGCTCACTCTGATGCACGGGGACAGGCGCTCGCGCGGAGACCTCCTCCTGCTATCTACAGACGCGGAGAAGGCCTTTGATAGGGTCAACTGGGATTACCTGTTCCAGACCCTCTCGCGTACGGGACTGGGCCCGGGAGTCATGGGGTGGATAACGGCCCTATACACACAACCTTCTGCCCAAGTGATAGTTAACGGGGCGTTGTCAGCACCGTTCAACATACTAAACGGCACACGTCAGGGATGCCCACTATCCCCACTGCTTTTCGTTCTAGCCTTAGAACCGTTCTTAGTGGCAGTTAGGAACAATCCAGATATAACGGGAGTGATGGCAGGGACGACACACCACAAAGTAGCGGCATATGCAGACGACATGCTCTTTTACGTGACAAACCCGGAAGTATCCTTACCCAACATCCTGAAAGCCTTTCGGGACTTCGGTAGGATATCTAATTTAAAAATAAACCTCTCCAAATCATACATTCTAAACATTGATATCCTGGCGCGACGGGCGACACCGCTATGCCAACACTATACATTTCAATGGGCCACGCACAAAATAAAATACTTAGGAATCTGGTTAACACGGAACGCAGGGGACATGTTCAGGGAAAACTTCACCACCATACACACGAAGTTTCGCACGGAAATGCAGGAATGGGCATACCCACACATCTCATGGCTTGGCAGGATACAAGTAGTCAAAATGAATTTTCTCCCCCGCCTCCTGTACCTCTTCCAAACCATCCCCATTACAGTCCCCCGCACATTCTTCGTCACGCTCCGCACTGCATTCGGGCGATACGTCTGGAATGGGAAACGACCAAGACTCAGACATACCCTATTAACGCTACCGAAGGATAGAGGAGGCCTGGCATTGCCGGACTTCACTCTCTATTATAGGTCCTGTCACTTCCTGCGGATAATAGAATGGTCCAAACAAGGGGTGCAGAAGCAATGGAAACAAGCAGAAGAAGTCGAGGCAGGTGTCCCAGTCGCGGTCCTGCCATGGCTGCCTCCCGGGATCGGGAGCAAGGGGAGGAAATGCTCCCCATACATCAAGGCTACTCTGCAAGAGTGGCACCGCACAAAGGATAGACATGAGCTAGCACCGTACCCATCGCCCCTTCTCCCACTAATACACAACCCAAACTTTCCACCGGGACTGGACCCAAGGGCTTTCCACGCGCTGATCCAAGACCCAATCCCCAGACTTAGCCACGTCTATACGGCAAATGGCCTCAAGACACTCAGGGACATGAGGGGAGACGCAGACTTTAACCTCCTGATACGCCTAAAACACAAACAACTCCAGAGCTACATAGCAACTCTTCCACAGGGGCCCATTTTATCGAGAGCTCCCACATACTTTGAAGACATATGCCTACACCCAGACCCGTTAACCCACGGAGTCTCCCTCATGTACACATCACTTCTGACTCAAACACCAATAGCACAACCAAGCTTTATGGGGAAATGGGAGGCAGCACTGGGTCGTACGATTCATAAGGCAGACTGGGAAAAAATTTGCTATCTCACGCACCATTGCTCTAGCTTCAGCAAGACGCAGGAAACAGCATACAAACTACTGACACACTGGTACTGCACCCCCGCGGCACTACACGAACATATCCCAGAATACCCCCCAGTGTGCTGGAGATGCGGAGAGGGGACGGGCACGCTTCTACACATCTGGTGGGAATGCAACAAAATCGCACCGTTCTGGAAAGCCATACACAAAATTATAGGGCAACTCTCAGACGACCCACCCCCATTCGGCCCAGCAGAAATGCTTCTACACCTCACTAAGGTCCCTAGGACCATATATAAGAAATCACTGACGATCCGCATACTAAACGTAGCTAAAACTACCATACCACAACACTGGAAACAGCAGACCACTCCGCCACTGAAAACTTGGTTCACCCAAATGGAGGAGTTGAGGTCCTTAGAAGAACTCCACGCCACAGCGAATAACACACACCAAACCTATCTCAATATATGGACGCACTGGCTACTGAAGTCGACACAACCAGGCTTCCTGGGCGAGACCCAGGCCCAACAATAGAGACTGGACTAACGCTACACCAAGAGGCGGACACCTGACACCGACAGAACCTAGACCCCTATCCCGATACCCCCCCACCACGACATACCCATCCCGACCACCTTAACACACGAGTAAAAGGTACCCTTGATTTGGCAGGGATCGCCTAGTACCGCATGGATTAGGGCGACTTGGAGACCACACATGGTGGACATCCGCCATGTAGGCAGACGGTTCATGACCATAGTAAAGTAGGGGAGAGGACGGACAATTATCATGGAACGCATGGGGACGGGGAGGTATCACGTCCAAGTTTAGGTTTTCAACTAGCAGTTTAAGCTAGGAGACTGATGAACTGAGTATATCATGAGTTGTCTGTTCCTCAACTGCTTGTTCCAAACAGTGTATAAAATACCATCGCAAGAGGGACCTGCGAGTCCACATTGTCTATGGGGCCTGCGAGCCCGCACTGCTACCCAACCTTACAATGTCGCTGATTTACTCTATGCCCTCACTAAGTATGGACCTGCGAGTCCAAATGAAGTAGGACTGCCTCGATTTGAAAAATGAAAATAAAAATCATATTTACAAAAAAAAAAAAAAAAAGTTTATGGATTCTTGGCTCCAATGATGCCACTGCAACACGGAGAGCCATTTGTATGTCAAGTCGACAGCTGCACTTATTTTTCATTGCCGTAACAAATGAGAATGTCTTTTCACACAAATATGTTTTTGCAAATGGAATAAAAATTTTGTTTTACAGACACACACAGACAGACAGAATACAATACCAATGTGACTTACACAACTCCACAAATAAAGTGCTTAGTGAAAAAAGTGCATATGGATAATTTGTCACTTAAAGGTTCACTATAGTATCAAGAAAAACAAAGCGGTTTTCCTGACACTATAGTGCCCTGAGGGTGCCCCCACCCTCAGGGTCCCCGTCCCGTGGCGCTGAAGGGGTTAAAACCCCTTCAGCCACTTACCTTATTCCAGCGCCGGGCTCCCTCGGCGCTGGTGACCTCTCCTCCCCCGCCGATGTCCGCTCCCTTTGCCGACGTCAGCGGAGCTCAATGCTTTCCTATGGACGCTCTGCACGATGGAGACATAATATGGCATTTATATTAATATGGCATAATATGCCTCCAGCATCGCAGATGCCCCTCTAGTGGCTGTCCAGAAGAGAGCCACTAGAGGCTGGCTTAACCCTGCAATGCAAACATAGCAGTTTTTAGCAGTTTGCATCTGCAGGGTTAAAACCTGAGGGACCTGGCACCCAGACCACTTCATTGAGCTGAAGTGGTCTGGGTGACTATAGTGTCCCTTTAACTTCCCTTACAGCCAAGGAATAACCTGAAGATTTCCTCAAATCTTCAATTAGTAAATGCAAAATATAGGGTGTGTCCTGCTAGAGAAGATATAGATAGCACAACATAGTGCAAAACTGGATAATGTAATTTTGGTACATTACAAATATAGAGCCTTCAGAAAATGATTGGTAGATATCTTTTCAAGTCTTGAACTTTATTTGTATCAATCTCATTCAATGATAAAAAGTGCAACCAAATCAAATAGCAAAGTTATCTACTTACACCAAAGTAAACCGTAGTAGGTAAAGCATGTCACCTAAGGTACCCTGTGATTCTTTTGATCACATGCTTTACCTACTACTGGCCCCGTGCGTAGAGGAGTATCAGTGGTGTCTGCTAATAAGACCCAAAGAAGGGCAAAATGATTGTTCACGGTTGTTGTATCCCTCTTGCAGAAGGAACTTATTAGAAGTTTGGATATGGACTAACCTTGTCAGTGGGATCAGTCTGATATGATTTTGGTTCAGGTCCCCTATGGTTCAAGTGAGCAAAAACATTGATTAACAATTTTTTTAAATGTATTTTTGTATAAAAAATTTTTTCCAAGTGGTGAGGTGTCTACCTGAATTTTCTTAGCAGAAGCAGAAAATCAGAGCTTCTGCTAATGGGACCAAAACCTTTAGATTATACAAACTAGCTCAGGAGTTGATTGCAAGCAGTTCCCAGATAGATGTAGAATTGCATAAAAAAATACTTTTGATAATTAATTACTTTGCCATGATTAACCCAGGGGGCATGGTAAAATATCCCTCCCTAAAGTAGTTGGAATATTAAAGGACCACTCTAGGCACCCAGACCACTTCAGCTTAATGAAGTGGTCTGGGTGCCTGGTCCAGCTAGGGTTAACCCATTTTTTCATAAACATAGCAGTTTCAGAGAAACTGCTATGTTTATGAATGGGTTAAGCCTTCCCCCTAATCCTCTAGTGGCTGTCTTATTGACAGCCACTAGAGGCGCTTGCGTGCTTGTCACTGTGATTATGAATGCTTTCCTATGTGACCGGCTGAATGCGCGCGCAGCTCTTGCCGCGCGTGCACATTCAGCCCAGGAGGAGGATCGGAGGAGGAGAGCTCCCCGCCCAGCGCTGGAAAAAGGTAAGTTTAACCCCTTTTCCCCTTTCCAGAGCCGGGCGGGAGGGGGTCACTGATGGTGGGGGCACCCTCAGGGCACTATAGTGCCAGGAAAACGAGTATGTTTTCCTGGCACTATAGTGGTCCTTTAACTTGTTTGAACAGGGCCCTCATCTAGCTATTGTTTCTATGTCACTGTTTAATTGTCTCATTTATTGTAAATTCCCCCCCCTCCTTTTCATAATATTGTAAAGCGTTGAGGAATTGGTTGGCACTATATAAATACCAATAATAATAAGCATTAATAAAGTATCAGTTCAGACTCAAATTGTTTTCTTGCTTTATTTTTATTTTTCTATGTTTCTATGCATTTTTGTAAAATGATCGCAGTGATCATAAAATGATCGCAGTTATATACAATAAGCAATGTCTAACTTTCTTAACATATTAAAATCACATTCATTTTTAGTACATCCCAGACCCCGCTGTCTGGGCTTAGCAGTGATATCCAGGTAAGATTATTTACCAGTTGTTTTTAACATTTCTTTTCAGAGGTAGCCTATTCTCCCACCTTATCATCATTTGCAGCCTTTGTTTTACTTGTTTTGTACTTCTGAACATGTTCTAATTCCAAATGGATTTTGCCTCTTGCAAATTTGTATTGGTAAAGTATGCCTTCAACATGTCTGGCATATTTGTATTGTTTACATATCTTGAACTATAGTAGCTCAGTGTAGGTTTTAAGGGAAAATGCAGAAAGTCACAAAGACGTGAAAAGACCAGAGCAAGATGGAGATTTATAAAAGTGTTACTTAATGCTAATGCACTAGCCATACCAAAGTGTTTTTAAATCGATTACATATGGTTGGGTTTGATAAACTGCATCTTGTATAAAACAATTCTCATAGATCTGAAGTTCCATTTAATATGTTAATGTGGCCGTTGTCTTGTCTTTTATGTTTTGTTACTTAAAGTTTATATTCATTAATTTTAATTATTTTTTTCATTATTTTGTTGCATGCGATTTTACGTTCTTGATTTCTTTTCTAACTAGAGGCGAGCTAGACAGGTTCTGATTATGTTAACCCTTATTGTTTTGTTCATACACAGTTAGCCTTACAAGAGGAGAAGTTAAAACTAGAAGAAGAGGCTTTATATGCTGCACAGCGTGAAGCAGCCAGGGCAGCCACGAAAAGAAAGCTTTTGGAGGTGAGGGGATGATGCCCCAATACTTGTAGACCTTCCTGTACCAGTAGATACATGTGTGTCTTTTTAGGCCAGCAAGGACTCCTCTCCTGCTGATATACTGTAAAGAAAGGCCTGCTTTTTTTGGCAACAAGTTGTCACACACCCCCCTTCCTTCTTTTTGTACGGCAATTGATAATTAAAGACATATTACAATCTAAAACTAATGCTATTTGAAAATTTTACATCTTGCCCCTTCAGTCTTACTGCTCAATTCTCTGTCATTTAGTTAAATCACTAAGTTTATTCACACCTACCCTGACTATGTTATTCACTAAGGGGAGAATTCAAGGTGAATTCAAAGTAAATTTTAAATTTAAGGTCAAAACATCCAAACTGAAAAGAGTCTCTAAGTCAACTATGCTACTCTTGCCTTAAATCTAAAATTCACCTTGAATTCTCACTTCAGTAAATAACCCTGTAAACGTTTAGCGTCCCTTGTTGCACAGTGTGTTTAAAGGGACACTATAGGCACCAGGACAACTTTAGCTTAGGGAAACGGTTTTGGTGGCCTGTAGTCTCACTGCTCATTTTTCTGCAATTTAGTAGTTAAATCACTTTTGTTTCTGTTTATGCACCTCTAGCAACTACTCCCCCAGTTGTGATTTGCACAGCCTGCATGAAAATTTTTTTTTATTTTCACTCCGATGTTAACTTGCTTTGGGAGTTTTTATCTCCTGCACTGTAAATGGAACTTGATCCACATACAGAATGGTCTTGCAGGGTCTAGAAGGCTATAAACAGAGCACCAGATAATACATTCTAAATTAAACAGAATATGCAATAAAGTAAGTTTTAACATTTGATCTTGCTTTGCCGGACTAAAGTTTCATGGCAGAGAATTCAGCAGTGAGACTGCAGGGACATGAGCTATACATAAAAAACTGTTTCAATAAACTAAAGTTGTCCTGGTTCTTATAGTGTCCCTTTAATTTAAAATGTCCTGTCTCCTGCTCTTTTAATTGCTTGCTAGATCCTGTAACAGTCATGTGTGTGATTTGAAGTTCAATTAATAGAGAAGGAGATTAGAACTTGTAAAGTAAACACACTCTGTAAAAGTAAAACTTTTTTTTTTTTCTATGGAGGCTGTGTGCGTCACAACCAGGGGAGGTGTGCCGAGAGCTGCATAAATAAAGACATTTAACTCATAGGGGCAGAGCAAGCAGTGAGATTGCACGGGCATGGTATATACACCAAGCTGCTTTGTTGTGGTGCTTAGAGTATATATTGCTTGTGTTAAAGGAACAATAATGTTTTTTTTAAAAGTATTTTAATTCTTATTATGAATGTAAAAAATCACAAATGCCCTTTTAACTCCATTTAAATCCCCCCTGAATTTCACTTTAAAATGCAGATGTTGCTAATGTGAGGCAACCAACTAGTGGAATCACCCTTGATATTTCTGTGGTTTTCATGGCGATTTCTCAACTCTGTACCACTTTTTTCTTTTGGCAACATTTCATGAAAAAAAATTCCCAGGCACTCTGTTGACACCCAACACAATGCAATGATTTTTCAATTATCCAACAAAACTGAATAATTTATTTCACTCAGTATCACTGTTTATAGTCAGAGCATTTTGAGTTTGGCATGTAATGCATATTTAAAACAGAAATTTAAAAACCAAACATTTTAGTTTAAAGGGACACTTTAGGGTAGGGAACAGGAACATGTATTCCTGACCCAACCCTCCATTTTGGTGGCTTGTTTACATTGCAGCTCAAAGTCTGCCCTCTGTGGCTGTCTGCCAGACAGCCACTAGAGGGCTTCCGGCATCCAAACGGACTTTTGGTCCATTATCTCACGCACATTAGGTCGGTGGGGAAGAAGCGTGGGCAGAGCTTGACCCAGCACCGAGGGACATCGAGGCTGGATTCAGGTAAGTTTTGTGCAGCACTGCCCCGAGAAGCACCACCAGTAGCCATCTGAGGAGTGGCCACTTGGAGATGTCCTTAGGGGCAATGTAAACACTGCATTTTCTTTGGAAAGGCAGTGTTTGCATGAAAATGCCTGCATATAATGATTATACTCACCAGAACAACTGCATTAAGCTGTAGTTGTTCTGGTGACTATAGTGTCTCTTTAAATAAACACTAATGGGTTACATTTTACTTGTTGTACAATGGCTCCCAGCCTTTTTTGAAACTACGCACACTTCAATGAAATACATTCCACAGCACACTTTAATGACAGAAGTTCCAAAGCACACCGACTTTTTGTTTTTGTTTTTAATGTCAAGAGCAACTTTTGAATGTCACTTTTACATGACGAGAGAGGTATGCATGCTTCTAGCCAAACTGACTTGGTTAGTTTCAAAGGGGATCTGCTAGTTCCCAAGATTTTTAATATTATGTTTATTTGTGAGGTGTAAAATAAATAAAAATAAATGTAGAAATAAAATTACCTGCCTGATTTACAACTCCCAGGGGGCAAGCCAGGTGCTGCAACAAAACTCTAAAGTTAGTTGGTACAGGGTGCACTATGCAATAATAACAATTAAATGTTATGCAGCTTAAAGTGATCATTTAAAATGATATATAAAATCATCTTGTGCTCTGTTATATACTCTCTGTATACAGTTGCAATCACTGACCTAGTTTCCCAGTGTTCTTTTAAGAGTAGGTTTCTGTGTACATTGTGCTCAAAGAACTCCTTGATGAGGTTTATGCATCCATAATCACAGTTTTATGATGTGATATGAAACACCATATGACCATTAAAGGGACACTCAATGAACCATATCTACTACTGCCTATGATGGTGATTTATGTACCATGAAGAATTCAGAAAAAGTTACCTTTGAAATCATTACGTTTTTTGGGTTTTTCTTTTAACCGCCATTTCAACCTACCCTTCACAATTGTCACAGTATACAAACTGCCTGCTGGTACTGTGCAAGTCATTTATTTGTAGAATCTGTGTGACACTGTGCTTTGAGATGAGCAGAGAAAGGTGTTCTGTGTGTGCGCACTGTAACCGTTTCTTCAAGTGAAGGTGATTGCCTTGCATGGAGTTAGCCGGTAGTGTGCTCGCTCGCTATACACGTACTTGGACATCTTAATTGGAAAGTACATTCTGGTGCTGATATTAAAGTAAAAAGAAAGAAAACCACAAAAAAGTTATGCATTAGGGAGCAAACAACATTCTTACATGAGTTACCTGGCACTGTAACTTTTGCATTTTATATTCATCAGGTAAAACATATAAACAAAAACAAAAAAATATCATGGTAAGTGGAGAATTGTGAAGGTTGTACTTCAATTAATGCGTGGGGCTTCAGTTTAGCTAAGGTAAATTGGATCTGGAGTCTGGGCACAACTGTGTGAATTTAAGCTCAATAGCCACTTTGTAATTTTTTGTCCCACATTTTACAAATGGGTCTTCTGTTACCACAATTCACTGTTTAGTAAATAAACCTTAGTGTTTGCATTGGTAAAATATCTCCCATGATATTAAATAAATTCAGGTTATATTGAGCCATTACTGTCCTTTTAAGAAATGTTTTCCCATTGAAATGACCATATTTAGTGTAGAACACATATTAATGGAAAAATATAGTAAAAATGATGTATGAAGAGCAGCTTTAGGGCAAAGTTTTAAAAGTAGCGCAGTCACCCTGGAAACCAATGGAATGTTGCAGCCGATTGCTCCAATTATAGAACTTAGTACTTGTTTATTTATCTATAAATTAACTGACTTTGAAAGATTGACTCTTTATACATAACCTCATTCTGTTGAACACATTATTTTCTACTACGGTAGGTACATTACATATATTTGCCCTTCTGAAGGGGTCATTTGGCATTTGTGTTTCTATGTGTAAGCACCCCCATGGTTTGTTTACTGTATCAATCTCCTGTAGATATCATGCCATCACTCAATCAGTTTTTCACAAAGCTTGATCGTGCAGATACATGGAAAATTATCAAGCGAACCTAGGAGATTAGTTGGAATATGTTCCCAACTTTAAGAACTTATAGTTTTTACAAGTGATATAGGGCAGTTAAAATTTGTGGAAACTATGTGAACTTTTAAAATATCAACAATTTTAGGTCACTATGGGAATAAACAGATTTACTATACAATATGTGCAGTTTCCAACAGCTGAGCGTTGTCATGTATTAAGTGAAACTGACATGCTTTGGCTACAGCACTATTTGTGGTGCTCCTTTACTGGAGAGCAAACCAAGATCTAAGTAAGAATGGACTGTACTGGGTCTTGTCTGAATCACTGGGTTACTGATGAAGGTAATGCACTATTCAGGAATATTCATTTAAGCTATGTAAGTGGCAGAGGTGTGTTTTTATCACATTGCTTTGCAATATCCAAGGCTCACTTCAGGCATTGAAAGTGGGAAAATCATCACCACTATTAGGAATGTGACCTAGGATGGCAACTAGTTATCTTACATACATTCTATGTGTGACATGGTACTCGCTAAATTAGAATTGGTGACATGCAATCACGCTCAGTGTGTGACAACACAATACCTAAAGCTATTTGTTTACTTGCATATATAGCTACATGTAATCTATGTCAGTTAACAGGCACAATTCCTGCAACCGTTTACTATAGCAACATCATGCAAACGCAGCATTCTTGCTATCCTGACCTATGTCAAAATCGTGAATGCCATTTGCACAATTACTATAATTGTGAACAATGCTACACTTCCTTTAAACAATATATTCATGTTATTACCCATTTACAGAAAACTATATGACTGTTTTTTTTTCCCCTTTTTTATTTTTTTATTTCTTCAGCAACATCGGTTACAGTGGCTTAAGCAAAGAGCTCAAGCATTTAAAAGTGGGGAAAACATGAAAGGGTAATTTTTATTTTGTTTATTACATGATTCATAACACTGGTTTATATCTGCATGGCATATCTTAATGTATGTGTATGAAACCGTATATCAGTTATCGGAGACGTTGATGCATCCTTGGTGGCTAATTGTACCACCTCATACCTGGAAATTAGGTTCTTTAAATTATTTATTTATAAAATCTTTTACCAGGAAGGATACATTGAGATTTCTCTCGTTTTCAAGTATGTCCTGGGTCCACAAATCATTGCATTGTTACAATTAGGTACAACAAAATACAAAAACAATATTAATACAAAATAAAGCTCTCTTTGTTTTTGAGTGTATTTCCTATTTGTTAAGCAGATATCTAATTTTATATTTGCAATTTTGCATTATTGTATTCTATTTTTTTATTTCATATATTGTATTGTGAGGCACTGAAGTCACGATATCACTGACTATATATGTCGTAGTGGGGAACAAAACGCTACAGGCCTTTTCTATTAGGGCTTGTATAAACATTCCATTCCATGTGAGTGGGCACTCAGCACTTTCTCTATTTTCATATCCACCCATTGCAAGATATACTACACTATTAGTCCCTATCTTTTCTAGCTTTTTTTATTTTAACATGTACCTACTGAGAGGAGGACCAAATCATATAGTAACAAAGGCCACTGGACAAATATATTAAACTTTTTACTTTTATTTATTTTACTGTATCTCACGTTATATATTTTCACATCTGGCCCAATCTTTCTTCTTTACAAAAATGCCTGTAGGCAGCTGCCTGCTATGGCAAATGGGAAATCTGGGCCCTGGACACAGGTACAATACAGCAACTACTTCAGAGACTGTTACCTTGCTGATAGACTGACAGATTTATTGGAGAAAGATATCAATAGTTATATCCCCTCTTATCTTCATACTGAATTACAGGAGCACCTCAATTAAAAAGTATTTCAGTATTTGTATAGCACCAACATTTACAGCAGTGTTTTACAATGAATATATATATATAAAAGCAAGAAATGACAAATAAAGTAAATAAAAACAAGATGTGAAGATGGGCCTACTCAGATGTGCTTATATAGGACTTACAGTACAGGGGTCAAGACTTGCTTTTTCAAGTGTGCACCCACAAGGAAGGAATTGCCATATGCATCTTGAGTCATATAGAGGGAGAGTGGATGCTGTTTTATGAGTGAATGGAGTTGAAAATTGATCATTTTTAATGATTTTAATATAGTTACAAAACAGCAAATAAAGAATATTGGTTAAAATAATAGAAATGCAATAGAATTTGCAATAAAAGTAGTGCAAACATTAAATTACTCTTTACAGGAAGGCTGTGTAAGTCACATGCAGGGAGGTGTGACTAGGGCTGTATAAACAAAGTAATTTTAACCTCTGAATAGCTGAGAAGTGAATTGCAGGGGCATGATCTATACACTTAAACTGCTTCATTAAGCTAAAGTGTTTTGATGACTATAGTGTTTTGATGACTATAGCTGAGAAGTGAATTGCAGGGGCATGATCTATACACTTAAACTGCTTCATTAAGCTAAAGTGTTTTGATGACTATAGTGTCCCTTAGTGCCACTTCTGCATTAAATCACAGCTCTAGTTGAAAATTATCAAAATTTCATAAAACCCAGTGGGTTCAACATGCAGGCTATCACAGCATTTTTTTTGTGGGCTTGGCACATTAACTAGTTGGAACAGTAATTGCTGCTTGCAAGATCGCTATTTTATTTTTTAAATACATCAATGATTTGCCTTTCTAAGAATAATAATGTAGCAATTTCCTGTTCCCTACTAAAAGAAACACATTTAAAAATATAGTTTTTAGGTTAGTGTTACCTAATTGTGTGTGTGTGTGTGTGTGTGTATATATGTATGTGTATGTGTGTGTGTGTGTGTGTGTGTGTGTGTGTGTATACACACAAATATATACAGAGATGTTTCTTTATTTTTCTTTATTTTTGAAGTGCAGATATAGATTTATTTTTTTTAAAGTCGCTGCTCACCAAGGCCCCTTGTAGGGTATTGTTATGTAACTTGATTATGTCTGCATGCAGGAATGCATAAAACTAAATTCTGACTTAATGCTACTGTTTAATTCCTTGCCTATACTTTGATAATTGGATGAAAAGTAAGACATACCTATCTACCTGTGTAAGACAAAGTAACATTGAATTGTTCTTACAGCTCAGAAGATTTTGAATCCTATTTGCAGAACGTGAAATCACAATATGAAGTATTCAGGAGTAGTAGTAAGTTATTAAACCTATTAATTTCTTCACCAGGAATTTTGCCAGTAGAAAATCACTTCATAATTACTTTCATATAAAGCTGTGATATATATACAATGCAAACACTTCTGCATTGTGTTAGTGGTGTGCAGGATGATTTGACATGTCAGTCATTTAGGACTGAAAAAGAAGAAATGGGTTTGATGAACTGGATAAAGGAAGATTTGGAGGCTATATTAGAAAGCAGGTCACATAACAAGGGTTTAGTCTTGGTTTTGGAGAGAAGAGGAAGAATGAGAGATTACTACCTTACAGACCTTCCTGAGTAAATTACTGCTTTTAGAAAGTATAGGGAGTAGTCTCAAAATTGTCCCTTTCCAAATATCCAAATAAAAAAATGTTTTTTACTTTTACACCAGTGCTGCCAGCTGCTCCGTCTCCCGCAAAATCCAGCTCACAAGCCAATGGCCAATCTAATGGTCTTAGAAATTGATGAGCAGAAAGCACTGCTTGTGCATCAAAACTTCCACATAGAAAAGCATTGTAGTCAATGCTTTTTTTATGGGCTTCTGTGTCACTTGTATGATTTTTACTGGCAGTGCTGCCGAAGTGCCTCTATTGACTGTCAGGGAGATTAGCTACTGAAAACCTCCAAAAACTGTTTTACATGGCAGGGTTTAAACTAAAGGACCACTGGATCTAGACAACTTAATTGAGGGGACTTTAGTGGTCCTTTAAGCACAGTAACATTGTATAAGGGAATCGTAGAACCCACTGATTTTATTACAGTTTGTTGAAGACTCAACTACAAGAATTTATCCTGCATGCTCAGTTAGCTGTTCAATGAAACTTGTTTTGATAACAGGACCAGTCTATTTGCATATAAAATACATAAACTAGCCTTTAAGACAAGTCTCGATAAACTGTAAAGTTGCATATTTCTTCTAACCAGTCTGTGTATATCATTCAGGGCTTTCTTCTGATGCCAACATATTAACTCCAAACACGGAGAGTAGTTGTGATCTCACCAACAAAACAAAGTCTACGAGTGGCAATGATGATAACACATCCCTGGATCTTGAGTGGGAGGATGAAGAAGGTGAGGAGTTGGCCCATGTTATTCATGCTTTTTACTTAATTAAATATGTAACATTTGAGATAATGACATAACATAGTGTGGTTTTATTAAAAAGTTACCCCAAGCATCATAACCATTAAGGTAGTACCCTGGTGCTGTTCCCCAGTAATATAAACCAACAATGTCCATGGTGTCTGAACTGCCTCCAATCTCTCCAGAGCATAATGCCAATCCTGCCATACATTCATTGCCTGGTAGTGTCAGCTGAGCGCTCTCAGCCAATGATTAACTCTGTGAATAGAATTCAGCCTCTGTTTCCAGGCTGCCTATTGACACTGCCGTAAGTGGAATTACACCTCAGGTACCTACCCTAAATATCTTTGTATGTGCAGCATTTCATATGAAAACACTGCACATGCAGGCTACTTCCATCATGACAAAACACTGGAGTAGTCATGGTGCTTGGAGTAACTCTTTACCCTCCTTTGCTGCAAAGTGCTTGTCTAGCAATGAGTTACCGCACTTAAAGGAACACTCAGACATTCTGAATAACTAGCTGAACCAACTCCTTTTAAATGGATGTTCTAGGTACAATATTTCCTACAGTTTATCTTAGTGGTTATGGTGCTAGTAGTCTGAGTGCAGCCCATTCAAGATAGAAGAAAAAAAAACAGGGCTCCCTTTGTACTGAAAACCCAGCTTCTCTGCTGCCCCATCTGTATTACCTGTACCCACCCAAGTTTTCATAGCTGTGATTAGCTTCAAGCGCTAGTGGTGAGCTGCATTCACAGCCTAGAGTAATTTATAATGCGCTGACAACTGTTTTGCAGAATGTAGACTAAATAGGTTTGGCCAACTTACCTAGATATTTTCTCAGGGTGGCATTCAACCCCACTAACTATATTTCATCAATGCTCAGGTATTAATGTGTACCCTTTTTGACCTAGGAATAAATAGGTTGATTCCAATGAGAGAGCGCTCCAAGACTGAGGAAGATATTCTGCGTGCAGCCTTAACATACAGTAGGAAGAAGCCCGGGAGTCACGCGGCCTCAGCCTCTGATGATTCGAATGGGCTGGAGTGGGAGAATGATTTTGTGAGCGCAGAAATGGATGATAACGGGAACTCCGAATATGCAGGGTTTGTTAACCCAGTAACAGAGCAGTCTGCAGAGCATCAGGACAGGTAGAAGACACATTGGATACAGTAGACTATAATGACCAAACACTTTCTTCTCCTTTATGGATTATCGAATGTACAGACTTTTGTTTTTCTTTTTTTTTTTAAATGCACACACAGATGTAGAAATGTGTCACTGGAAAAGAAATTAAGTGCAATTTTTATTATTTAACTTTTGCAAATGTTTTTCTATTCTTTTTTTTTTTCTCTAAGGGGTTTTGTTTTAACCCCTTGTGAACCATTGACATTCTTTGTCATCATAACTATCTGATTTTTACAGATCTTATCCTAAAATGTCATGTTCTGTTCGTCCATGACAGCAGGACTGTATAGAGTTACCAGTGGTTTGTGAGCAGGACATTCCGTGCAGTCAGTCTTTGTGGACCAGATTGTGATGACAGCATGGAATATCATTGGTTTTTTAAGAGTTAATCACTAATGAAACATGTGATATTGCTTGGATTTTGGCACTTGTCTAGGTCCACTAACTATCTGCACTACTTGAAAATTTGTCGTTGTGGCAAGCATCTTGTCCTTCACTAGCCCTAGGTTTAGGATGTGTTGCAATCTTTATTATTGTCTTCTATTCTTCTTCTTGGTTTTACATATTAGAAGACATTGCAGTGATATCTTCACATATAAAATATGATAAACTCCAGAATTCAAAATCTTGGCAACCTGTAGGAGTTTGAACTACATTTCCCAAAATGCTTAGTCAGCCTAACGGATATCTATCACTGATTTAGAAAATCTATACACATCTAGCCATTTTACAGAACAATTGAACAGTTTGGAGAAGCTATAATAGCAATACAGCTTCAAATTACAATGCCCATCTTTAGGCGAAACTCTCTGCAGAGCTGTTGCATTGCCTTAATTAGTATGTAATTAATAAATTAGAGTTATTTAAACTCAACAATTTTATAAAAATGGTTTATGTATTCATGTATTGTATTTCTCCCCCCTCCCCCCATTTATTTACATTATATTGAACTGTACTAACATAGAAAAATAATCCTGACTACCGATTTATAGAGAGTCTGAGGGAGAAACCTTTCAGGTTGATTTTCATACATTTTATAGAAATGTGTGTTTTAGTTTGGAAAATCACCAAAGAAATGTTTTGATATGTAACAAAAATATTTACAAATTGTAACAAGCCCCTCCTAAAATAATTTCAAAGAATCTGATTCATGTATTTATTAAAAAGAACTGTAAAACAAGTGTAACTCTTTAATTATTTTTTCTCTTCTTCGAAATTTAGACTATGCACTAGGTAGTTATTGCATTGCATCATTTGTTCTTAACATTTAGATTGGGACCCATGACTCCAGTTCCAGTTATTTGCAATAGACATCATATTCGTAAGGCCCTAGGCAACTCTCTTAAATAAGTTATATACTGCCATCCATGATATATATTAAAAAAAATGTTGGTACCCAATTAATATCATATACATCATATGCATATTTTGGTTCCCTGTCAAAAGTGGTTAAGAAGTACTGTAATCCATATTAAATACCTGCACTCATCACAGTCTCAGTTGAAGGACAAGTGTATGTGATAGTGATGACTGCACTCACCCTGCTCTATATTTTGCTTTGCTGAGAAGCTAGCTCAGTGGTGAATTATGTGGTTTTCAGGATGCACTAGTCACTACAAACAAAAACCAATGCAATTTTTTAGAAGCAAACAAAATAAACACAACACTGTGTATGATGTATACTAATAAATTTTGTTTTGTCTGTCTGTGAGTGGCTCAACTCTTATTGAATTTTTATCAGATTGTTATGTAAAATTCACACACACAACTCCAAAATCCAACAACTGTGTTGGTTGTGGCAAACAACCATAACACTTAAAAATATACATGCACTAGGTGGAGCTTTTGGGGAGATGGAATGCAGTGGTCTACAAAATATAAATAAGTGAAGTAAATTATAAATGCACAGGATTTCTATAGGGAATCCTACCCCTTCGTCTGTATAATCTCCCGTAGTAGCATAGATAGGAGAAATCACATAAAGATCCACAGATTATTATTATGATATTTATAGAGCGCCGTCAAATTCCGCAGCGCTTTACAATGGGTGGACGAACAGACATGTAGTTGTAACCAGACAAGTTGGACACACAGGAACAGAGGGGTTGAGGGCCCTGCTCAATGAGCTTACATGCTAGCACAGAAAGGTAAGGATAGTATTAGACTAATGACAGTTGCAGAAGAGGAATCAGTCAGGAGCTATTAACCGTTTAATTGATACACTTTTATGAAGAAGTGGGTTTTTAACGATTTTTTTGAAGGAGTGGAGACTGGGTGAGCATCTAATGGAGGAGGGAAGCGAGTTCCACAGGAACGGTGCAGCCCTCGAGAAATCTTGAAGGAGAGCATCAGAGGTGGGAGTACGGACAGAAGATAGAGGTAAGTCTTCAGCAGATCGTAAGGGCCTAGACAGGACATACTTGTGTATAAGGGAGGATAGATAGGTGGGAGCAGCATTATGTAGATATTTGAAAGCAAGAACCAGAATTTTAAATTGAGCTCTATATTTTATAGGAAGCCAATGTAGGGACTGACAGAAGGTGAGGCATGGGAGGTGCGGGCGGACAGGAAGATGAGCCTCGCCGCCGCATTCATTATGGACTGTAACGGCGCTAGTTGGGAGCACGTAAGACCACTGAGAAACGGATTACAGTAGTCAAGGCGAGAAAGGACAGTGGAATGGACCAACACCTTAGTCGCATCTGGCGTTAAGTAGGGGCGGATGCGCGCAATGTTTTTGAGATGGAAATGACAAGATTTGGCAATAGATTGAACATGAGGCTTGAAGGAGAGATCGGAGTCAAAGAGAACACCTAGGCAGCGAGCCTGCGTGGTGGAGCTGATGGTAGCACCGTTGACTTGGAGGGAGACAGACACAGGAGTAACAACACTTGAGGGAGGAAAGACCAGAATTTCAGTTTTGGTCAAATTTAGTTTAAGGAAATGGGAAGCCATCCAGTTAGAAACAGCAGAGAGGCAGTCAGACACACTAGTCAAGAGGGACAGGGAGAGATCAGGACAGGTAGATTTGCGTGTCATCTGCATAGAAATGATATTGGAAGCCAGATGAGCTAATGAGTTTACCAAGGGAGGCAGTATAGATGGAGAACAGTAGGGGACCAAGCACTGAACCTTGGGGGACACCAACAGAGAGGAGTTGGGGAGAATAAGCAGAGCCAGAGAAAGAAACACTGAAAGAGCGCTGGGAGAGGTAGGAGGAGCACCAGGAGAGAGCAGTATCTTGTAGACCGATATTGAGGAGGATGAGAAGAAGCTGTTGATGATCAACAGTGTCAAAAGCCGCAGAGGAGAATTAGGATAGAGTAGTGACCACAAGATTTTGCAGCGAGTAGATCATTGGATACTTTGGTCAGTGCTGTTTCCACAGAGTGCTTAGCGCGGAAACCAGACTGAAGTGGGTCTAGCAGAGAGTTGGATTCAAGGAAGTCAGTCAATCTCACATACACAATTTTTTCAAGGATCTTGGATGCAAAAGGCAGTAGCGAGATAGGACGATAGTTGGATGGGGAGTTAGGGTCAAGATTGGGCTTCTTTAGAATTGGGGTTACAGTTGCATGTTTGAAGGGCAATTGAAATATAGCAGAGGAGAGAGAGAGATTGAGAATTTTAGTGAGAGGTGGAGAAAGAAGAAGACAGAGTAGGGATGAGATGCGAGGGAATTGGATCTAGGGAGCAGGTGGTAGGGCGGGAGGACTGGAGCAGAGCAGAAACCTCTTCCAATGTAGTGGGTGCGAATGAACATAGAACAGCAGAGAGAGTGAAGTTAGGGGAAGTATTGTAAGGGGAAAAAGAAAGATGAGATATCTCTTCTCTTATTGTAGAGATCTTGTCAGTGAAGTGAGTTGCAAAGTCTGAGGCGGTCAAGTTAGTAAGTGGAGGAGGAACAGCGTTTGGGTTTGCGGGAGAGTGTGGTTATGAGTGTATTGAAGTAATTAACTTTTGCAGAGGAAAGAGCCAAGCTGTATGAGCTCAGCATAAATTTATAGTGGAGAAAGTTAGATGCACAGTGAGACTTTCTCCAACAGCGTTCAGCAGTTCTGAAGCATTTTGCAGAACTTGGACAGGTGAGGTTTGAGATAGGTAAAAGGAGAGTTTGGAGATTAGTGGAGAAATGCTCTAGGTCAAGACATTGGAGGTTTCTGTGAGAGTGATGTTCAGACGGTGGTGTCAATTGGGTCTTGGGTATGCCAATGTCAAAAGTCAGCAGATGGTGGTCAGATAGATGAAAGGGAATATTGGAGAGATTAGAGGCAGTACAGAGGTTGGTGAAGGCAAGATCAAGAGTGTTTCCTGCTGTATGGGTTGCTAGATTGGACCATTGCGTAAGGCCAAAGGAGGAGGTTACAGAGAGCAGATATTCCAAGTGTAAAAGATTAATCCTTTATTGGCTGGTTAATGGGGTAAAAAGCCTAAAAACGATTCAAATACAAAATAAAAACAAATATTGGTACCATAAAATGTCTGCACTATCCTTCACAACGCATTTCACTTTATCCTAAGGCTTCTTCAGTTGGTGGATCTAGATTCTTCCTTCTTACTTTTCCTTTTAAATACACGCTGGCAGCTGGTTTTCGGTCTGCTCCTCAAATCAATTTCCTGAACGTTATATGCGTTCCACGGTAATATGGGTCTCTTTCAGGCGTCCTATTAGATTCCCGGAATTGCGTCACAACACCCGTTGCATATCTATGCAAGTCTACACGCCTTATATATTCGTCATAACCGGTCCGCCTATGGTACCCGTGGAACACATCATTTATTTATTTTTTATCATTATGGTTGGTCATTGTTAACATTGTCCTTACAGTAGGGTTTCCCTGTTTAAACTCCCACTGGTAGTCTGTAGATAAGACTGACTAAATAGTATATCTGAAGATACCCATGGTGTATAAAGTGTATTAGAACGAATATTAAAACTACCTGTGTGGTACATTGTAAAATATCAAGAACATATTATAAGCTGAGCATTATCAACAGCCTGGTAGATTGTGGATAACTGATAAATGCTCTGCTACATAGAAAAAAAACCTTTAGAAAAATGATTACCTTAAAGGACCACTCTAGGCACCCAGACCACTTCAGCTTAATGAAGTGGTCTGGGTGCCAGGTCCAGCTAGGGTTAACCCATTTTTTCACAAACATAGCAGTTTCAGAGAAACTGCTATGTTTATCAATGGGTTAAGCCTTCCCCTATTTCCTCTAGTGGCTGTCTCATTGACAGCCACTAGAGGCGCTTGCGTGCTTCTCACTGTGATTTTCACAGTGAGAGCACATCAGCGTCCATAGGAAAGCATTATGAATGCTTTCCTGTGTGACCGGCTGAAAGCGCGCGCAGCTCTTGCCGCGCGTGTGCATTCAGCCGACGGGGAGGAGAGAAGGAGGATCGGAGAAGGAGAGCTCCCCACCCAGCGCTGGAAAAAGGTAAGTTTAACCCCTTTCCCCCTTCCAGAGCCGGGTGGGAGGGGGTCCCTGAGGGTGGGGGCACCCTCAGGGCACTATAGTGCCAGGAAAACGAGTATGTTTTCCTGGCACTATAGTGGTCCTTTAATCATTCAGCCTGTAATGCAACATTCAATTGCATTGTTGTTACTTAACTTAGTTTGGTACTCAGGGTATATAACTCTGTTTCCTCCCCCTATAGAAGTGGCCTTTATACTCTTATATACAGAGTGATCTTATCTGAAGATTCTAAATGCTCATTCTTACACATATGTCTCTCGCACTGTCATGTTATGGTTTATACTGAAAATGTCACGAATGTCCTGTTGCATTATATGTATAATCTATGCCACACAAAAAAAAAAAATAACCATATCCATGCATTGATTTCAAATGTGTATACTCCTCTCCATGTTTTGGGGGTTTGTTTTTTGTTTTTTACTCTTTATATAGTCATTCATTGCTGTCATTTTATGTTTTTCTCCTATAGATTCTTTAGCAGTTATACATTAGTTATACGTATAGTATAATCTAAGCCACATATGCTCAGTTATTTTTCATTTAATTGGTATTGTAGTAATTAATTTATGTATAAATAAACAAGTCTGCCAAAATATACTTATTGTGCTGTCGATTGAATTGTGTCTAATGGCAGGTTATAGTACATTATTTTGACAATTAATGGTATATACTAGGGACCTCCACGTTAACCAATCTAGGATCTGCTGGCCTAGTCTTGCCCCATGGGGCATGATCCATACATTGATGCATGTAAGATGCATTGCTGACTGGCATCTGTAGTGAGACAGAACTCTTGGTGGTGGCTGCTTTCCTGCCCTGTGTGCACCAACCATCCTCACCACTGGGCACACAACTATAGAATTCTTTTTAATGAGGCTGACCAGAGTAAAGAGCGCAAGCATTTACTGTTCCATAGCCAGTCTATTCAGACACATTAAATAAGATAAGGTCTGATAAAGACCAAACCATCTGTAATCTTTGATATAAAGAGGTATGCCTGGGACTTTCGTATTCCATTCTAGAATAATCCCAGTAAAACCAGAGAGAGACTGCATAAAAATATTTAGCAGTCTGAAATAGCCTGTTTGCATCATTTGAGACCCTGTCATACATGGTTTGAATTGTAGATTACAAATAGAGGACCAGAAAAATGAGTAATGTGGCCATGAAAGAGTTTTACCAAATATATGGCAGGAGGCTCCCCCATCTCCTGGACTCTTTTACTTATACATGAAGTGCTGTGTTCAAAAAAAGGTGCAGTTATAGGCACCCACCCCTCTCGCTGCATATCTTACTTCTATGAAAACACATCATTATTTTTACAGTTTATCAAGATTTCTATAAAGGCCATGTGCCGTGCTGCTCGGTATAGTTAAATTCATGTAAAAACAAGTTCTGATACAGAATCTGCTTCTTATCTGATCTCTGTATATTCCTCTGAGATAGGAGTTCATCAGGAGAGGATTAGAAATAATATTTCCATCTTACATTTTGACTAGTGTGAGAACATAAAGGCTGTATAGCTTGTTCTCTGTGTGGTTTCTGCATTCAGTGCATTTATTTATGTAAATGTTCTTGTATTCGTAACCTAGCTAGATCATTGTTATTCCTGACCTGGCCCTGTCTTTTTTTTCTTTTTTTTTTTTTTTCCCCACTCTTCCACACTTTAGATATTGGCTTTTTCCAGTGCTTCTGTTTTCTTCTTAGCGAATTCACTGTTATACAAACAATGTATTAATGTTGCTGGCACTCCCCTATATGTGATAACGAGTTGTCCGGTTCAACCCCTCATGGAGGCAATTCATAGACAATGTTTTCCCAATAGAGGCAATTCATAGACAATGTTTTCATACACAACGGAATGTATTGGAACCTAATATTACATTTACTATGACCGTCGGCAGGTATACAATGCCTTTTCTTCATGAACAAGCCAGTTGAGCGGGTACCCAACTCCATAGAAATATCTATATTAAGCCCACTGATGATAATAATAAAAAAATAAAAAAAAATAACCTGTTGGGATCTGAAAATAAGGTTACCTTACAACCTTACAGCAGGCTGTTAAGGGTATGGAGAATATCTCAAGAGGAACATCTGAATGCGAGCTCTGAATTTTTTTTTTTGTGTGTAGACAATTTTAATAAAGGTTGTATACTGCAATATTACGATCATAGAGAGCCAGGGTGGAGGAGAGGGATAAAACAAACAAGACCCCTTTTGTGTCTCCATACACGACACTTGGTGGTGACATTAAGAACGTTATTCTTTTTTAAGGAGATTAAAATCGACCTCCACAATTCCATAATTTTTTCTCTTACATCAAAGCTAAGACTTCTTAGTATAATCTAATATTGGGGGAGGCAGGAGACAAGTGAGGTGTTTTTTCTGAACTCAAAAAGTGTTTGTTTCCCTGCCTGGGTTAACCAGAATGAAATAGTGTAATTAGGGGAGAATATTTTACACATACTCTTATAGGGAAAAATATAAATTCTACATTTACTATACATGTAACTCTGTCCATGTTGTCTATATTGAAATGTCTTTGTGGTAAGCTGTATATAGGGAAGCCTACAAGAGCGATGAAGTAGTGAACAGCAGTGCATAAGGGCAGCATTAAGGTGGCTATTACTAGAGACACATGTGAGGCCCCGATGGCTAGACACTTTAAACCTGAGAGACACAGTGTTAATAAAATTTTAACCAACAGACAAGGTTTTGAAACAAAAAAATTAGAACCTTAAACACATTATATCCACAAGGTCTTAATGAGGATTTTGACCTGAAGCATTTCTAGTGACAGACTACTGTGCTTCTCAGTGGAGGGACTGTGCTATCCTTCTACTGCTAACTATATGACACCTAGTTGGTGAACCAGTTTGATCGTTATAGTATTTTTGCACGCCCTATCAGAGCCTAGTCCTGACCAATGTTTGGTACTTGACACTTATAACTTCCTATGTATCCTTGTACGCCTTTTAACCACATTTGGTCACCTACTATATGATCCAAGGGTTCCCCTGCATATACTCTGAAGACATTTCTATGTATTTATCCAAACACCCATCATTGAGTATTGTAACAGATCCCCTATACTTGGACTGAGTATATCTGCTGAAGAGACTCCCTATTCCTGCAGATGAAAGTGTCTCTGTGACTTGGAGATAATTGAGTTAAACCTTGTTATACTAGTTGTTTCCCGGATAAAGAAGACACAATGCAAAATACCCCAAAAACAAGTATAAAACAACGAGCTATTTCCACAAGTTATATATCTTTCGAAAGGTAGGACCCAAGCTCCCATTCTGTGAAAATAGTGTTTGGATCCATGGGGAACTGTCCAATCACCACCCAGTTAAACTTTTGACCGGCCGCTACTTAAGTCCTTTCCGAAAATAGTTCCATGCGGTGGGTACCATGTTGCAGTCTTTTACCAGGCTTCAGCTGCTTGGGGAAAGGGAGCACCCTCCTTCTCATAGGGAGAGCTTGTTCAGGGGGAGGGGTAGGATTCTCCAAAGAGTGTCCTCCTAGCCAGGCCTGGCGCTACCTGTTAGGTGGACTGGGCAGACGCCTAGGGCGCCGCTAGGAGCGCCAGCCCCCCTCATGCTGAAGCCGCCCGAGCGCTCTGTAGAGAGCCTCAGGCGGCTGCTGCTTTGCCCGGGCTGGTGTGTCCACGCGGGCGCACCGCCCAGGCGCAGCATGAGGAGAGGGCCTGACAGGAGGGGGGAGAGAAAGAGAGCGTGGCCGAGCTCTGTATGGTCCGCGGGTACAGAGAGCATCTGTCTCCTGTACCCGGCCAGACTAACAGGAAGAGCACACTCAGTGTGTACTTCCTGTTAGTCCAGCCGGGTACAGGAAGCAAAAGCTCCCTGTACCCGCGGACCATACAGAGCTCGGCCACGCTAAAACAGTGGTGGGGGGGGAGAAAGAGAGAGTGACAAGGAGGGGGAGAAAGAGAGAGTGACAAGGAGGGGGAGAGAAAGAGAGTGACAAGGAGGGGGAGACAAAGAGAGAGTGACAAGGAGGGGGTTGGAGAAAGAGAGAGTGACAAGGGAGGGGGGAGAGATTGACATCCATCACACACACACAATCACACACAATGCACCCCTTGTACTCAGAAAAACACAATGCATTACACACACAGACACACATACACAAGCAATGCAACCCTTACACAAACAGAAACACACAATGCATTCATTACACACGCTCAATGCACCTCTTACAGACACACACACTGCATCCTGTACATACACAGAAACACACCTTGCAGCCCTTACACATACAAACACAGATTCACACAATGCATTCCTTACACACATCAGGACATCCCCTACACACTCCACCCCCTGTGAACAAACTCATTGGTGGAACATGAATGTGGACCCTGGGACCCAGACCTGAGCTGTGTAAAAGGCCCCCCAAAAATGGAGCGCTTCCCGTTCTCCCAGAACATTGATTTTTGTGACCATAGTTACAAACCGCCCCCAGAGAGCCTGTTCTACACCAGACCAGTGGAGCCAGACTGCAGCTGGAGCCCATCATCATCCTCATCTGGTTGTAAGTAGGCAATCTAGTATATTATTCGTGGCACTAAGCTCTAATTTACCTCACATTAAAGAAACACTATAGTCCCCAGAACCACTTCAGCTTAATGTAGTGGTTCTGGTGTCTATAGCCCGTCCCTGCAGGCCTTTTAATGTAAACACGGCGGCACTGCAGCACTGGCGTTAGTTATTCCTGAAAGACCGGAGGGCGTACTATTACGCCCCTCATTCTAAGCTGCCTAAACGCCGGCTGTATTAGTACCGTCTTCGGTACTTACCCGGGTCGCCGGCGGTCCCATCGCGCCGGGCGACGCGTTCGGGGACTCCCCAGGGAGCCCCCGCCGCACCTCCGCCCTTCCTGGTACCGCCATAGAGAGTGGGGTCCTTGCGAGGACCCCACAATCACATGGCCGGGGGTAGCTGGCTGCAGCATTGCCAGCAGGGGGGCTGCCTGTAATGACAGGTGGTCCCCCTGCTGGATGAAAATAAAAATGAATAAAATAAATAGTGTAAAAAAGAAAATAATATATACTTAGATCATATATATATATATATTATATATATATGATCTAAGTATATATATATATACACATATACATACACACACATACACTGTCTAGGTGTATTTTACTATTAATATATATATATAATTATATATATATATTAATATCAAATTACACGTAGACTGATAATGATTAAATATATATATAATTATTGTTATATATATATATTTATATATAATATAAAAATAAATAAATATGTAAATACGTTAAATAAAATTAAAAAATAATTAAAAAATAAATAATTAAAAATATATGATGTGTGTTATTTCGCTCTAACCCAGATAGAAATTAATATATATATATATATATATATATATCAAAAATACACAGAACTTAAAATAATATATATATACTCCATATTCACAGGGTCGGTGCAAGGATTTTCGTCACTCTTAGGCAAAAGAAAGATTTGTCGCCCCCCCCTCCCCCGGAACATCGCAATGCCCCACCCATATGAACTAATGCCAGTGCTGCACACAGTGTGTGTTTACATTAAAAAGCCTGCAGGGACAAACTATAGACACCAGAACAACTTTATTAAGCTGCAATGGTTCTGGGGACTATAGTGTCCATTTAATGTGAGGTAAATTAGAGATTAGTGTCACTAATAATATACTAGATTGCCTACTTACAATCAGATGAGGATGGTGATGGGCTCTGGCTGCAGTCTGGCTCCACTGATCTGGTGTAGAACAGGATCTCTGGAGGCTGCTTGCAACTGTGGTCACAAAATTCAATGTTCTGGGAGAACGGGAAGCAGCTCCATTTTTGGGGCCTCTTACATAGCTCAAGGTCTGGGCCCCAGGGCCTGACGGTGAGTATGCCCATAAAGCCCACCCATAAGTCCACCTACATGTTCCACCCATGAACTCACAGGGAGTAGAGTGTGTAGGGGATGTGTTATGTGTTACTGTAGAGGATCTAATCTGTGTGCTTACGGAATGTAGTGTATAGGGATACCAGTTTGTGTAGGTGATGCAGTGTGTATGTGTGTAGTGGAAGCAGTGTGTTTTTGTGTAAGGGATAGAAAGCAGTGAGTGTTTGTGTATAAGGGATGTATTGTGTGTTTCTTGTTGTGTGTAAGGGATGCATTGTGTGAATCTGTGTTTGTATGCATAAGGGATGCAATGTGTGTTTCTGTGTATGTAAGGGATGCAGTGTGTGTGTCTGTAAGGGGTGCGTTGAGTGTGTGTAAGAGATGCATTGTGTTTCTGTGTGTGTGTGTGTAAGAGAAGCAGTGTGTGTTTGCATGTGTGTGCAAGGGATGCATTGTGTGTTTCTGTGTATATGTGCAAAGGATGCATTGTCTTTATGTGTAAGGGTTGCATTGTGTGTTTCTCTGTGTGTAAGTGAAGCATGTTGTGTTTCTGTGTGTATAGGGATGCATTGTGTGTGTGTGTGCACGTGGTGTGAAAGAGCTCCCTGTCCTGCCCCCTGTCCTATAGAGCTCTCCCTTCCATTCCTTAGAGATCTCCCCTGCCCCTTAGTGGTCTCTCCTCTCCCCCCACCTCCCTTAGTGGTCTCCTTTTCTCCCCGACTTTCCATTAGTGGTCTCTCCTCTCCCCCCACCCTCCCCTAGTGGTCTATCCTCCACCCCCCTCTTTTAGCGGTCTCTCCTCACACCCCTCCCCTAGTGGTCTCTCCACCGCCTCCTTTAGTGGTCTCTCCCTCCCCTACATTCTCATCTCCCACCCCCGTGTTCTCCTCTTATTCCCCCCTCCCCGTGTTCTCCTCTTCTTCTCCCCCCGTCCCTGTAATCTCTTCTTCTCCCCCCCATAATCTTCTCTTCTTCTCCCACCTCCTGTAATCTTCTCCCCTCCCCCCCTGTAATCTTCTCTTCTTCCCTCCTGTAATGCTTTCTCCTCGTAATTTCTTTCTTCTCTATAATTTTCTTTCTTTCTTTTTCTTCTAATTTTCTCCTAGACAATTGTATTCCCTTCCTTCTCCTACTAAATTGCCTCTCTCTTTTATCAAATTTCCTCTCTCACCTATTTCTCATCTACCATTCTCTTCCTATCACTCTCCTCTCCCCATCAATCATCTCTATTGCTATTTTACTCTTCTCTGGGTAAGCCAGTTTTTCTCGCCCCGCGTGGAAAGGGAGGTAGCCAGCGCTTGAGCGCCTATAGAGCGCCAGGCGGCCGCAGAATTTAAAAGGGCCGTGGGCGTTAGGCTTTCTGCGGCGCGCGGCGTTTGTAGGCGGCTGCCTAGTTCGCCTTATAGGAAGCGCCGGCCCTGTCTACCATCTCTCTTTCCGCAGAATTCAAAGGCATACATCTTTACTTAAAGATTCTCCATCACCTCCTAACCCAATCCGTCACTTGTCTCTCAGGTCAACATGTCTGACCATATCACTCTCCAATTGTTTCCTGATCCCCAGCAGTGTGGCCACCACCTTCTATCCAAATTCAAAATCTGGCCATATGAATTAACTAGGTCAATTCCCATCTACAATAACCAATCCCCTTCAATGCCACCTTATCTTCTTTGCACGTACACTTGACCAAGTGTCCCTGCTAACATCTTGCTTCGTATCTACCTTTTTGTCTATGTTTTACACTTTACTTAATGTATACTCTTTGAATTCTGTTTTCTGCTCATTCCAAGTATGGTTATTGTAATGCATCGCTTTTAGATACTATCTTCATCAGACTTACTGATTGTTAAGCAGTACTCCTTTTATTGGCACAATCATGAATACATGTTTGTTATTTAATAATATTATTTCTACCCACAACCTACTGTCTCAATGTTTAACTCCCCTCTAGATTGTAAGCTCACAGGTAGTGCTCTGTTCTCCCTTTTTCCCAGTGTGTTTAATTATGTATCCCCTGCTTGTATAATTAGCAATGTTACAATGTTCTTTTTTTCATAAACTGTAAAGTGCTCTGGATAAGAGCGTTGTTTAAGAACTGTAAAATATATAACTATTAGAAGTATCTTTAGGTTGAGACATACCTTTACTCCAACACATGGTACTCATTAGTAGTGATGTCGCGAACCCGAAATTTTCGGTTCGCGAACGGCGAACGCGAACTTCCGCAAATGTTCGCGAACCGGCGAACCGCCCGAAACGCCATTGACTTCAATGGGGAGGCGAATTTTAAACACACAGGGACTCTTTCTGGCCACAATAGGGATGGAAAAGTTGTTTCAAGGGGACTAACACCTGGACTGTGGCATGCCGGAGGGGGATCCATGGCAAAACTCCCATGAAAAATTACACAGTTGATGCAGAGTCTGGTTTTAATCCATAAAGGGCAGAAATCACCTAACATTCCTAAATCACAATGAATATGGATTGACACCTGACATATGACATATTGACACCTTGACATATGGATTGACACCTGTCCTCGGAGCCCCTGATGCACACGGACAAAGAGCAGAATAGGACTGGTCCCCCTACATAGGGTCACTTGGCAGATATGGATTGACACCTTGTTACAAATTGCTATTTGTAACGGGCCCTTTAAATGGCAAATTGCCCTGCTTCCCTGGGTTGTGGAGAAGCCTATTTGCCAGCCTCCTCCTGCATGACTATGGCCCCTGGGAGATTGTGAAAATGTATGCACTTTTATTTGGTGTGTATGGCCCTTTAAGACCGTCGGTGGGCATATTGGGGCTTATGGACTCTTTATGTGACTGGTGCTGGCCCTTTAAACACCTTTTTTGGGACATCAGGAAGATTGGGACACTGCCCCTTTAAGGCCGTGTCCCCAGACTTGCTGGGGACACGGCCCCTTTAAGACGGTGTCCCCTGTGTCCCCAGACCTGGTGCAAACCCTTTGTGCCTGCCTGGCTATTTCCCACTTGGTTCAGTAA